CCAGTGCCCTCTGCAGTCCCTGTGGTGCACCAGGTGAGCCGGGCATCCAACAGCATCACAGTGTCCTGGCCGCAGCCCGACCAGACCAATGGCAACATCCTGGACTATCAGCTCCGCTACTATGACCAGGTGCACCGGAGGAGTCAGGGGTCCACAGCAGGGGTGGCAGGAGCCCACAGTGGGGGCCAGAGGCCTGCAACACTGGGAATGTGTCTGAGAGCCCTGCCAACCAGGGAGCGTGGCTGGGGACCTTGGGGACAGAAGCAGGGGCACAAGGGGGCCAGGCAGGGAGTAAGTGGCTGTTCCCCCCAGGCAGAAGATGAATCCCACTCCTTCACCCTGACCAGCGAGACCAACACCGCCACCGTGACACAGCTGAGCCCTGGCCACATCTACGGTTTCCAGGTGCGAGCCCGGACTGCTGCTGGCCACGGCCCCTATGGGGGCAAAGTCTATTTCCAGACGCTGCCTCAAGGTGAGCCAGGGTTGGGGGGTGCAGATGGGCAGGTGAAGGCCCAAGGCGGTAGTGAGGAGAGGCCCAGGGACTATCCGGCCTTGAGCCCTGGCCCAGTGTTTCCCAACCAGAGGTTCTGTGGGAGAAGAGAGTGCCTGTGGCTCAGAGGCTGACCTACAGGCTACTTGGGGAGGGGGCAGTTGTAGGGGTGTGTATGTATGTTGAGTGTGGATGTGGAAGGCCTGTGGGTATGTGTGTGTGTATCCCTGTGTGTGGACGTGGGAGAGCTGTGGGGATGTGTGTGTGTGTGCCCTGTGTGTGGATGTGGGAGGGCTATGGGGATTTGTGTGTGTGTGTATATGTGTGTGTGTGTCCCTGTGTATGGATGTGGGAGGGCTGTGGGGATGTGTGTGTGTGTGTGGATGTGGGAGGGTGTGGGAATGTGTATGGGTGTGTGTGTGTGTTGTGTGTCCCTATGTGTGGTTGTGGGAGGGTGTGGGGATGTGTGTGTGTGTGTTGTGTGTCCGTGTGTGGATGTAGGAGGTGTGGGGATGTGTGTGTGTGTGTGTGTGTTTGTCCCTGTCTGTGGTTGTGGGAGGGTGTGGTGATGTGTACGTGTGTGTGTGTGTGCTGTGTGTCTCTATGTGTGGATGTGGGAGGGCTGTGGGGATGTGTGTGTGTGTGTGTGTGTGTGTGTCCCTGTGTGTGGATATGGGAGGGCTGTGGGGATGTGTGTGTGTGTGTGTGTGTGTGTGTGCCTGTGTATGGATGTGGGAGGGCTGTGGGGATGTGTATGTGTGTGGATGTGGGAAGGCTGTGGGGATGTGTGATGTGTGTGGTGTGTGTCCCTGTGTGTGGTTGTGGGAGGGTGTGGGGATGTGTGTGTGCATGTGTTGTGTGTCCCTATGTGTGGATGTGGGAGGGCTGTGTGTGTGTGTGTGTGTGTGTGTGTGTCCCTGTGTGTGGATGTGGGAGGGCTGTGGGGATGTGTGTGTGTGTATGTAGGACAGTGTGGGGATGTGTGTGTGTGTGTGTGTGTGTATCGTGTGTGCCTATGGTGTAGGTGGGTGCCTGGCCCACCTGTGACCCTGGTGGCTGGTCCCCCAGGGGAGCTGTCCTCCCAGCTTCCGGAGAGACTCTCCTTGGTGATTGGCTCCATCCTGGGGGCCTTGGCCTTCCTCCTGCTGGCAGCCATCACCGTGCTGGCCGTCGTCTTCCAGCGGTGAGTCCCCACCCCTGCCCAACTCTGCCCAGCACCATTCACTCTACAGCCAAACCTCAAGCCCTACAAGTCCGGAGCCCCCTGCAGAAACCCCAGGCCAGTGCACTTCCCATCACCCAGCCCCGGCCCTGGAACCCGCATGGAGGTGGGCAGGAGAGTGAGGCTGGCATTGCCCCTCAACAGACTGACTGAAGGGCAGCCTTCAAGGGCAACAAGGGGGCATCGAGGGGGTGGAATGGGAGTGTCATTCCCGGTCACCATTTGTCCCTCAGGAAGCGGCGTGGGACCGGCTACATGGAGCAGCTGCAGCAATACAGCAGCCCAGGTGGGGATGAGGAGAGGAAATGATGGGGCTGGGGGAGCAGGAGCACATGGGCAGGGCGCATGTCAGGCTAGGCTGGACCCCCTAAGATTTGGGGAGCTCCTTGGCACAATCTTCTCGAGGTAAGTGGGCGTGTCTGGGGTGTGCAGGCAGCGCTTCCTGGCACCACATGCTCATAACACACTCCACACCCCCCAGGACTCGGGGTAAAGTATTACATCGACCCCTCCACCTACGAGGACCCCTGCCAGGCCATCCGAGAACTTGCCCGGGAGGTCGATCCTGCTTATATCAAGATTGAGGAGGTCATTGGGACAGGTACAGAAGGGGCAAGGCAGGGATCAGAGCAACGGGATTCCCTTGTGGCCTCCCCTGGGCAGAGTCCCATCCAAACATGGCTGTGAGCCTTCACCCCCACCCCCAGCCTACACTTATTCTCCCAGGCTCTTTTGGAGAAGTGCGCCGGGGCCGCCTGCAACCTCGGGGAAGGAAGGAGCAGGCTGTGGCCATCCAGGCCCTGTGGGCTGGAGGCGCCGAAAGCCTGCAGATGACCTTCCTCGGCCGGGCTGCCGTGCTGGGTCAGTTCCAGCACCCCAACATCCTGCGGCTGGAGGGCGTGGTCACCAAGAGCCGACCCCTCATGGTGCTGACGGAGTTCATGGAGCTCGGCCCCCTGGACAGCTTCCTCAGGGTCAGTCCAGCCTGGGTAAAGGAGGAGGGTCCGTGGGTCCAGGACAGCTTCCAGGAGACAATGTCCTGCATCTTTGCTTCTGCCCACCCCATCTTCCATGGTGTCCATCCTTCCTTCCCAGGCTGTTTTCTGGTTCCACGTCCACCCCCCTCTCATGCTGTTGTCTGCCCCTCTTCCCATTACTGACCTCTGCCCCCTGCCCCATCCCTCAGCAGCGGGAGGGCCAGTTCAGCAGCCTGCAGCTCGTGGCCATGCAGCGTGGAGTGGCCGCCGCCATGCAGTACCTGTCCAGCTTTGCCTTCGTCCACCGCTCACTCTCTGCTCACAGTGTGCTGGTGAATAGCCACCTGGTGTGCAAGGTGGCCCGTCTTGGCCACAGTCCTCAGGTGAGAGCACAGCCCTGGGGACACAGCCTGGGGCCTTGTGGCATGCCCCAGCAGGTGCTGGCAGGGGGTTGAGCTGGAATCTGGGGTGGGTACCTCAAGTGGGATGTTATAATCCCTGAAAGGAGGGAGGCTCTCCTGTGTGATGGGGGGGGGATGAAAACCTAGGGGAGGGGGTTTGAGGGATTTCAGGGACCGAGACAAAGAAAGGGGGCGAGGGAGAGGAGGAGACCTCCGACCCCTCCCCCACTGTGGAGGTTACACAGACTCCAGAGTCAGCACAGCTGGATACACACTCTGAACACTCTGCTCTCCAGCTCGGTGACCTTGGACAGCTTCACATTCTCTAAGCCTCACCTTCTGCTTCTGTGAAATGGAGATAATATCATCCACCTTAGAGGGTTGTTATGAGGATTAGATGAGACGCTTAATGCAAAACCCTTGACATATCTGAGCACATAGTAGTTGCTCAATAAACGTGACTGTTGCTATGATGATTACTACTCTTGACTTTACCCCTCAGGGCCCAAGTTGTTTGCTTCGCTGGGCAGCCCCAGAGGTCATCGCACACGGAAAGCATACAACATCCAGTGATGTCTGGAGCTTTGGGATACTCATGTGGGAAGTGATGAGTTATGGAGAACGGCCTTACTGGGACATGAGTGAGCAGGAGGTGAGCACTGGCCTAGACACTGCTGATTTCCCACCAGATCCCTCCCAGGCCGGAACATTCTAGGACCTCCAACCTCTACTCCATTTGTATTCTAAGATCTCATGGCTCTTGGATTCCTATCTTTGAGTTCCTTCTCCACTCCAACTTCATCTTCCACCATATTCCATCCCGACCCTCTTACCTAAGAAAGTACTCCCCTCTACAAGCAAAACTTCCCATCATCATAGTCTTTCTCTGACCTCCCCCCCAGGTACTAAATGCAATAGAGCAGGAGTTCCGGCTGCCCCCGCCTCCAGGCTGTCCTCCTGGACTACATCTACTTATGTTGGACACTTGGCAGAAGGACCGTGCCCAGCGGCCTCACTTTGACCAGCTGGTGGCTGCATTTGACAAGATGATCCGCAAGCCAGATACCCTGCAGGCTGGCGGGGACCCAGGAGAAAGGTGTGGAACTTGGGGCTAGAGCCTGGGAAAGCCAGGGAGGGTAGATGCAAACCACGAGAAAATGAGGAGAGGGGCTGAGATGAAGAGGAGACCTTGACCCTGCTTGTCCCTCCTCCCCTCTTAGGCCTTCCCAGGCCCTTCTAAACCCTGTGGCCCTGGACTTTCCTTGTCTGGACTCACCCCAGGCCTGGCTTTCAGCCATTGGACTGGAGTGCTACCAGGACAACTTCTCCAAGTTTGGCCTCTGCACCTTCGGTGACGTGGCTCAGCTCAGCCTGGAGTAAGCAGGGAGTGGTGGGGTGGGGCGAATGCTCCAGGCCCCTGGCTGGGGGTGGTGTTGGGGATCTCAGAGAAGCTGGCCCAGATTTGACCCCCTCCCTCCCCACCAGAGACCTGCCTGCCCTGGGCATCACCCTGGCTGGCCACCAGAAGAAGCTGCTGCATCATATCCAGCTCCTTCAGCAGCACCTGAGGCAGCAGGGCTCGGTGGAGGTCTGAGGTCGCTGCCAGGGACTGACGATGCCCATGACTCACCCCTGGACACTGGTCCAAGAAGGGACATGTGGGACATGAGTGGGCTCCAACAGCCTCTGTGAGAGATGCCCCACACCAAACCCAACCCTCCCGATGCTGCATTCCCCGGTCCGCCGCCTCTCCACCGGCCTCCTCCTCATTAAAGGGAAAGAAGGGAATTTGCAAGTTCAGTGTGATGAGGCCTCAGTCTGCAAGGAAGGGTGAGGGAGACCTCACAGCAGGAGCAGAGGAGTGGGGCAGGCAGATGGTACCCCACAGATGCAGCAGGGGAGCTGGGCAGGGATCGGAGAACGACTTTATTGAAGGTGGAATTGGCAAGACTTAGCCCCACTTCACCCCACCCCAGAGCCAATCCTCTCTCTCTCACACACACACTTTCCACAAGCTCTGTGCCTCCCTGCACCTGCCTGGTGCCCTGGGAAGGGTGCTCTCTCTCTTTCTCTCTCTCCCCCCACTCATGACCCTGGGTTGGAGACTGAGTGCCTGAGCAGGCTGGCCTGTTTTTAAAGTGCTCTGACGTGCAGTGCTACTGTCGGAAGGGGTGAGGAGTGGCCGCAGGAGAGCTTCTCACGCCTGCCAGTCCTGTGCTTGGGCTGAGCTCCATCTGCCCCAGGGCTGAAGGAGTAACGCAGGTTGCAAGAGTTATTCTCACGTGCATTCCTTGGCGTTGATGCTACTCCCCCTTTCTCCTCTGGGGCCTGGGAGATGAGACCTCTGGGTGTTTGGGTTTTGTTTTGTTTGATGCTCCCAGGAAAATGAGAGCACGTTCCAGGAAGCCCAGTGACAGCACACAGTCAGATCTGGTATTCCCAGCCCTCCCCGTCCTCCAGACCCCTGTTGATTATCCCACGCAGGTCTCTCCTCAGGGTCCCTTGCCGAAGCCTTTCCCAGTTGGCACTGCTGCGGGAGGTACTTCGAGACACTGAGGGTGTAGGAAGGGGCAGGTGGGGGCTGAAGGGACAGCCCAGCTCCAGTTTTTCCACTGAGTCTTTGTCCAAGTCCTCGGAGCCCCGGGTGTGAAAGGCCTGTGCGTAGCGCTGGATCCGCTGCCGGTTGAGATCCTGCCTGTCTTCCACCCTGTGGAATGCAGGCGGACTTCAGAGACGACCAGGACTTGAAGAGAAGATCCCAGAAGGATATTTGTGTCTCGTCCCCTGGTTCCCCCATCCCTGCCATTTCGGGCCTTTCCCCTTCTCTGCACCCGTGGTGGATGCCTGCGTCCCTGGCAGGCATCCTCAGGAAGCAGCAGGCTCTCCCACAGGCTCCCTAGATGCTTTGAGAAGTCCAAGCTCCAAATGGGGCCCCTTCCTCAGCAGCTCAATCAACAAGCACACAGCCTAGGGAGCACCCAGGCGTCCACGGGGACCCCAGGAACAGGAAGTTGAGCAGAGGAATGCCCAGCTGATGAGTCTTCTCAGGGGACGCCTACCCCCGTGTCACTCACCGCAGGAACCAGCGGTCCCCCAGGCCATACTCCCGTCCGCAGATCCCAGAGCGAGGCCACAGGCAGCGAGGCAGCTTCCGCTCCAGCATCACCGTGGTGGCCACGATCTGCATGTAGGGACAAAAGGGGAAGTCTGAGATGAGGCTGGGTGCAGACAGAGGAATGAGAACTGCAGACTGAGAAGGAGGAGAGGATACAGGCAAAGGGTAACAGTCTAGCAAAGGCAAGGACACGTGCGAGCTCGTGGTTTCCGAGGGTGATGGACAGTGCCCCTGGATCTGGGAGGGGGTGCTGGCTTTGTTGACCCTCTCCAGTGGGAGAGAGTCGATAGGGCTTGAGACCAACAATTCTTTACCCTATGACCTGACATCCATGACACAGCCAGGCCAGAAGCAGGAGAAAGGAGGCAGACGCCTCATTCCCAGGAGCACAGGGACCAGAGAAAGCAAAGAGAAAGGGGTCCTAAGGGCTCCCAGATATTTTGACCCGACAGACATAAAGGCCACTTATCAATATAAACATCCCACTTAGAATATCAATATATATTCCTGGAGAAAATATTTTCCTGAGCGAACCTTATTTCCCAGCTTCGTTTTTCCACTCTGTTTTCTACACACCACAGTTAAACGCCTTCCAGTATGGGAAATTTCCATTTTTATTTTGCTGAATTGATTTTTTTAGATAAATTATTTTCTAGGTGTTTTTTAAATGAGGATTTGATTCATCGCATGATCCTCTCCCTATCTTGAAGATCTGGCTGAAGATAGCTTCTGCTACTACAGGAAGTTTCTGTGGCATTATTTTTAACACATCCAGCTTTCCACAGCAATTTCTTGCAGACTTAAAAATTATCAAGAAGACTTGATACTCCAGTTTTTATTTGGGAACCAAATGTACTGAGTGCAGTTTTAGCCTCCGTTAGCTTTATTTTCTGTTGATTTATTTATTGTTGATTCCTCTAGAAAACACTGAGCTTTTAATTGTTGAGAAAACTGTGAGGCAGTCTTCTCAGCGATTCCCGTACTGCCAGGTTGAATTGCTAATCAGTGCTTCTGTGCACTTTGAGTGATTTTGCTTGCTTTGCCACAACTGTCCGAATGTAAGTAGGGTCAAGAGATTCTGCCTCTCCCTGAGCTTGGCAGGTTCCTTGGTAGGAAGGGGAGGAGGTGCCCTAGCCCTCCCAGCCACCAGGTGGCTCACCTGGGCCCTCCACAGCTCATCCCGCTCGTGGGCCACTCGCCAGTGAGTGTCACCCATCATGGCGATGAGGAGGTTGAGCATGAGCAGTGTGGCGATGATGGCAAAGGCAGCATAGGTGATGCTGTACATGAAGGGCAGGTCCACGTTGTAGTTGGCAGGGCCATCAATGATGGTGAGGAACAGCTCAAAGGTGCTGAACAGGGCCATGGGGTAGTCGTAGAAGTGGCCCAGCTCCTCCGGGTCTTCTGTCTGGAAGATGATATAGAAGGCTGCTCCACCCAAGGGGAGTGAGGGTTACCATGGCAACCATGCAGGCGACCAGCCCACCCGGGCTCTGCATCTGTGTCCATCCTGGTCCCTTCATCTCAGTATCACCAGCCCTGCAGTGCTCCAGACTTTGGGGTTTTAAAGTCCCTAGTTTTCTATGAGCCTCATGTTCTTGATCCCAAGAGCTACCTCTCCCTCACACTCCTGATTCTTCTCACCTCTGGAAGACGTCCCATCCTCTGACATCATATGGTCTCCTCTGATCTCTGCATTAATCCTCCTCCCCAAGTTTAGCCCCAGCCAGTGCCCACTAGATTTTCTCATCTCCTCCCTGCCATGGCCTCTGATCCTGGACAGATGATTACCTGAAGCGAAGCCCAGGATGACCACAGCCATCAGCCAGCAGAAGCGCATCAGGTCGCCAAAAATCATCTAGAGGGAGCAGGAGGTAGAGAACATCTGCATACATTCCCCAAGCAATTGCCCTGTCCAACCTCTAACAGGTCTAATCCCGATAAGCCTCACAGCTCCACCCTCTGGGACAGGGATTGGCTAACTATGGCCTGCAGGCCAGATCTACCTGTCCTGTTTTGGTGTGGCCTTTGAACTGAAAAGGGTTTCTTCATATTTAAAGGATTGTTTTAAAAAAAGAAGAAGAAAAACATGCAATGAAGCCATGTGTGGCTTGCAGAGCTTGGAATGTCTACTGTTCGGCCCTTGATGGGACTGTCTGCTGACTGCCGCTCTGGGGCATTTCTCTAGGGAGCCTGAGGGGGAGGACTGACCTTCTGGATCATGATGGTGAAGGGGCCCAGCATCTGGAATCCTCGGGCGAAGTACATGACGTTGCACCAGCCCAGCACCAGGGCAAAGGACATAGGCACCACCTCCCCATTGGCACTGGTGAGCCGCATCACCATGGTCACCAGCACCATGAAGGCATAGGCGATGCTGGGGGAGCAGGGAGAAGGGTGATGAAGGGAGGGCTGGGATGATCCTGGGGACCCAACAGCAAGAATGTAGCTGGGAAAGTGCCCACACATGCAGATTCAGCCTCCCCACACTCCAGGCACAGGGTCATACACACAGCACTAGAGAGGGAGCTCTGGAGCTAAGGTTCTCGAGAGGTCAGGAATCCAGGAGTGCCCTGTTGAGGGAAGGGATGGGAGTGAGATAAAGGAGACTCACATGAGGACATGGAATGGACCCCCAAGGATGGTCTGTCCAAAGAAGCGAGTGACTCCCATTCTGAAGATGTCCGGAATCTAAAGAGAAGTCAGGGAGACACAAAGGTACTCAGAGACCGGAACTCGGGCTGGTTTCCAGGGGCAGACAGCCTCGCCCAGATTCCATCCACACCTCACCTCTACCAGCAGGATGATGACAGCCCCAATGACAGTTACCAGCTCCCCCACCAGCCGGATGTCATCCTTAGGGGTCACGTAGGCTTCCTGAGTGTGGAGAAGAATGGTCAAAACACTCAGGGCTTTCAGGCATCTGCCCTGGGTTTCCATGGTGCCCAGGGTAACCAGCCCTAGCAGATTCTTTTTAATCTGTGAGATTAGGCTCTTCTCAAGCTCTGTTCTCAGAGTATGAGCCTATGTGTGTTTCTGTGGGCATGCATTTGGAGTTTGTACTCATGTATTTGAGACTGGAACAAGAGGAGAAATGGTGTGAGGAAGGGAAGGGACACAAGTCTGAGAAAAAGCAGAGACCCAAGTCCTGCCCTGCTGATCTCCTCCAAGGGTGTCACCTGAAATAGCTTCTGCTGTAAGAGAGTGTTGTCCCGGGAGCTTGTGCGGTTATTGGTCCTGGGCTTCAGAGGGCGGTTGACGCAGCACATGGTAAAGCAGATGATGTACAGCAGGTATATGGCACCCAGCACGCAGAAGTAAGGCCGCCCATACCGCTTCCACTTGAGGCTCACCAGCTCCTTCACTGGTGTCTGGTCCAGGATCTGGCGAGCCTGCAACAGAAAGAGAACAGTCAGCTCAGAGACCCTGACACCCCTCCCCAGCCACAGCCTGCTGTGACAAGCCCTACCTCCCGCTTCTTGGTGGTGATGATAAGTTCCAGCAGGGACTGCTCATCCCCGGAGGAGTCAATCTCCGTGAGATCATAGAGGGTGGAGGTCAGTGGTCCATAGGTCCACTGGGTGTGCTTCCGCTTCTGCATCAGGTGCTGGAACATCTAAGGGAAAGTGGAGGTGACTCAGGAGCAGTAAGCAAATGGGACGGTCATGGAGTGTAGATGGGATGCATGTGCAGGAGGACAGCAACCCTGGAGAGGGTGGCTGCCCTTTCATGCTGATGACAGCCCTTAGAGGTTGTCCTCTCCCTTGACTCCCTCCAGAGCTTGGAATGGGGAGATGAGAGGCTGCAGGGCCCTGCTCTGGGGAATAAAGGGCAGGTGGGCTGGGGTGTTACACACAATTCCAGCATGGGATCTAGGCTCTGTAACCCCCAATGCCTCAGGGGAAAAAGAGTGGGCAAGAAAGGGAACAGTAGCAAGAGTGAAAGGGGTTGAAAAGTTTCTGTCGAAGCACATGTTCACCTCTGTTTCCCCCAGGGCCAGTGGGGTAGGTTGAGGGTCATTAGAAAGCCACCTCAGGGATATGGAGTATCTCTTACCACAGTGTTACCCTCCACTCCGGCGAGCTTGAAGGGGGTGAGACCCTGGTGATTGGGCACGAGGTCCAGGGGCTGCAGGTGGTCCCCATGTCTGTCGTAGGACAGCAGCAAGTTGTACATCTGGCAGGCAAAGGTTTTGTTGGGCTGGAGGATGAGGATGTGTAACACTGTGTTTCCTGGGGAGGACACAGGGTATCATGTGGGCACTGGCCTAATGTCCCTGATGTCCCCATCCCCACCCTGGGGTCTTCCTGAAGATTCCAGCCCCTCTCTTCACCCTGCCCCTCACTCCCTGCAGCATCCCGGCTTCCCTCCCCATCCCAGCTCTCACCCAACGAGTCCTGGGCCCGGACGTCGGCTCCATGCTCAATGAGCAGCCGCACGATCTCCTCGCTGTTCACACAGGCAGCAAAGGACAAAGGGTGCTCCCCTGGGGACACAGAGAGATCCATGGCAGGAGAGTGCAGGATGGCAGTATAGGGTGGGCAGTCTTCCTCAAGTGACAGACTTCTCCTCTCCCCATCTCAGCTCAAGGATTGGGGACACTTTTCCAGCAGAACCAGAAGAAGGGTGGTGGGGTAAATTAGCCTCTTGCCTAATTAAGCCCTAGAAGGACTGCCACTCCCCAGAGACAGAGCTGAAGGCAGGGTCCTTCTCCGCCTGGCCTCCCTCTGCCTTGCCCACCTCTCCAGCTGCCCGTCCTCCAAGCCCAGCCCTGCTCTCACCAAAGTAGATGAGGTTATGGGGACTGCGGCGGAAGGCAGTGCCCGTGGCTCTGGCAGAGACACTGGCCCTGTGGGCGAGCAGGGCTCGGACCAGGTTCACGTTCTGGTTCACAACAGCGATGTGCAGTGCAGTCTGACCTGGCCCAGAGACAGCCGTCAGTCAAGGTCTGTCCCCAGGATCCTGCATGGGGTCCCTCCCATGTGCACCCCCGGTGCCTTTCCCTCGGGGGCAGGCTGGGATGGAGAACAGGGAACCCTTGGGTGTTCAGGATTCCCAGGGGTTCCAGCTGCCACCCATCTCGTCCACTTCTCTAGGTCCCTGGCATTTCAGGCGGCAGGCATTCTAGTGATGTGCAGTCAGGACTGACATGGAAGAAGGGAGGCAGAGAAGAGAAAAAAAAGTAGGAGACTTGGACCCCCTCTTTGTCTTTCCCAAACTATCCACCATAGAGACTGACTTAAAATAGCCCACCAATCACTCCTGCTCTCCACCCTAGGCCCATGGGCCCCTCACCCTCATACAGCTCAGATGTCATCGGCTCAAAGACCAGCTCCGGGGCAGCCTCCATCAGCACCATGGCGGCCTCCAGGTTGTCGTAGAGGGCTGCTATGTGTAGCGCTGTTTCCCCCATGGCTCCTGGCATTTACAGAGAGGTGGGTCACATGGCTTCCATGGGACAGGGGCTAGGGGACAATACATTCAGAGGCCAACAGCACAGCACAAGGTCCTGGGCACTCCTGGGAGGCCCCAGGTGTGGAGCTCACTGGGAGGTGGTGCTGAGGGCCTGCTTCTTACCTCTCTGGTGCACCTCGCAGTCCTCATACTTGAGCAGCTTGCTCAGGGCCCGGACATCATTCTCTTTGGCAGCTAGAAGGAGAGGAGACTCCCAGATCCTACAGAGGAAGGGAATAGGAAAGGTGGGAAGAGGGAGCATCATCGTGGAGGGAACGGCCCTGGCTTCATTCCATTACACACAGACGTGTGTGGCTCGGCAGCAGGAACCTCAAGGTCTTCAGTCAAGGCAGGTGGGGCCATTGATGTCTTTTTACAGGCAGTAAACATGAATCAACTTTTTGCCCATGCGTTTGAGACTGTCCGTGACTGGTTTCCTATCCCCCCAGGCCTGGGGCCAGGAGGTACTGTGTGTGAATGTATTATCAGTGCACTTCAGGTATGGAGGGGAGGAGTTCTACTGAGACATGTGCTTACCTGCTAGCCAGTTCACCCCTGGAGTGGTCCTGTTTTACCCTCACCAGGTGCCCTGAGATTGCCCTCTCGGATAAGCCTTGTTTTGCATGGACTGAGGGGTGCAAGGAATTCCTGTCTCGTATTTGTGGAGGAAGTCACACGCAGAGGCTAGCAGGATTTCTCCTGTTGCATCATCCTCTGCCCACTCGACCTTCTCAGCAGAACCCTTTGACACCCTCCCAACAATAGCATCTTCAGGTTGGTGCTTCAACAATAGCACCAACAAAAGAACAGTGGCCCTTAAGAACAAGGCTGGCTGCAGGCTTCCCTTCCTCCCAGGTGTTCACTCATTCATTCACTCATTCATTCATTTTCTCTGTCTCTGGCTTTCTGCCTCTTGTCTTTCTCCTCACAGCATCTCCATGGCCTTCCTTCCTGAAGCGAAGCCCTGGATCCGCAGCAGCACATGAGCCCTTATAAGAAATGAAAATGCTCAGGCTGACCCTTCTACCTTGCAAATCCAAATCTGCAGTTTCAGAAGATTCCCAGGTGATTCCTGTGCACAGGACAGTTTGAGAAGCACTGCTCAAGGCAGTAGTTATTTGCGCCTGGACCCTGCATGCAAAAACCTGTGGCAACATCAGAGACCAGCTCAGGGATCTCAGTTTCCAAACAGCTCACCTTAAGGCTTGTGAAGCAGCGCTCTCCATCATTTTCACACCACCTGCCTAGAGGGCTTCAGGTGCTACTTTATTTTGGCTATTGGCCCCTAAGACATAAACTATGGTCAACAATGATAGATGTAAAGAAAAAAGAGCATCCAATCTAAAGGATTCATTCACTGAATTTCAGTGAATCTGAATGCTCCCATTCTGCCCTCTGATGCTTCTTGGGTTTACCCAATTTGGGATTCATGGATCTTTTTTTCCTCTGAGTCAGATTAGTCTCTCCTTACTTACCCACTTCTCACTTGTTTTAGGCCAAATTATCTTCTCCAACTCCGCAGATCATCTCTTTATTCGTATTACTACTGTGCGCTAAAAATCTCTTTTAAAATTAGAACTTACCCAACTAAGACACGTGGGTCCCTTTGACTCAACTTTCTCTCTTGCCCTTGAGCTATTTGGTCTTTCTATGGGAGTAAATGAAGTAACTATTTATCCATAGATTGACAGTTATGTGACACACAAAAAGACATAGACAGGAGCTTGCATTCTAAAGTGCTGGCAGTGGCAAGAAGTTGACTCCATAGCTGGAGGGAGAAGGACAATCAGAGAGAAGACATCAGCTCACTCATCTCCTCTGCCCTGCCCCCAGTGCATGGCAGCAGCCACCAAGTCCTGTCGGCTCAATATGCAAAGCTCTCTCTTCTTTCAGTCCCTACCTCCTTGCTCCTGCTAACCTTCATTCATTCATGTCCTCATTCTCTAGCCCAAGATTAGCAAAATATTCTTTCACCAGTTTCCCTGCACCCTATCTACCCCCATCCATCCTTCTTGATGCTGTTGAGATCATCTTTCTAAATGTCAAATGAAAGTCCAATGGGTCCTCAGCTGCTAAGGAAAGGAACACCGAAGCTCTTTAAGGTCTTTGTGCGGCTGCTTTTCCACGCTCTGCACTTCCCGCCCACTCCTCCTACCTGGCATTTTGGTCTTAACATGCCTTAGTACTGCAGAGCACACCATTCTCCCTATGTCTGTGCCCATGGGGCTCCTTCCTTCTAGACTCCAGCTCCCCTAGCCCACCAGTTTGTTCACTGTGTCTTCCGCAGTGCCTGTGCCTAGAAATACGCCTAGTTTGGTGTAAATGCTCACTGACATCATCTGTGGAGTGAATGAATCGGCAGCAATACCAAAAGGTGGTTTGGCTCAACTGCTCCTCCTCATTATTTTCATCAGCTGCCCCCAAGCCAACCTTCAGCAAGCATATAAGTGAAAAATGGTACACTTGGTATTCAAACGCAGCTTCAAATGGTATTTTCTACATTCCCCTAATTATCACCACCACTTCAACCATATGCACAAAGCCCTCTCTAGACACCCTAGACTGGGGGAAAAACAATCCCTAGCACCAAACACACACAAGCACACACACACGCACACACACATACACACAGGCACACACATGCGCACATGCACACAAATCCACACACGCATGCAAAAGTTCTTCGCTCTCTCCTGTGGCCTTCTATTTCAGCATCTTTCACTGGGTGCTGTAATTCCTATGCATCTGTCTCTTCCTCTATGCTAAGGGTACTCAAGGGCAGAGACCAGCCACTTACTCATCTTTATATCCCTTCCCTGCCCGCCTCCAGTGTGCTTCCACTTTTGTGTCCATTTTGACCAATTGTGTGAAAGATTGATGGCAAATCTAGAAATTGTTCAAGAGTTCTACTCGCTGTATCCTAGACGTTAGTGGTGACATAGGCAGTGGCAGGCTCAAAGGTTCCCCTTTGGTCCCTACACATCTCTGAAGCTGCCGGTGTCCTCGATAAGCCTCCATTCCCTGTCAATTCATTTTTTGTCCTCTGCTGGCACCCCTAGAGGCCTAGGAAAAACAAAAAGCCACTGTCAGACCTAGAGTTGCTGGAGTTACCAAATAAAAATACAACATGTTCAGTTAAATTTGAATGTTAGATGCACAATTTTTTTTAGAACAAGCATGTCACATGCAATATTGGGGATACACTTATACTAGCAGCTTATTTGTTATCTCAAATTCAAATTGAACTGAATGTCCTGTGTTTTATCTGGCACCTAGTCAGACCACACCCTGTGTGAAGAACCAGCTGATGACCCAACCCAGCAAGGTTTGTAGAGAACTAGCCTCCTCTGACTGTGAACTCCAGAATCCAGCAAAAAGGGGGACCCAGTCTGTGGATGGGTTTAGAGGGTATCAGGCTGAGCCATTACTTGCAATAACACTATGTGTCCACAAGGGGACAGCAGAGAAAGCCCTAGCTCACCTGCTTGGCAGTAAGGCTGACCACCCCCCAAACACCTGACTCTCTCCTTGGGGTCACTGAAGGAGGTGCATAGAGCCGACTTACCCAGAGATTCCCGTGCTTGGGGGACAAATAGTTTTTTCAGTAGCAACTCATCACAGGAGTTTAGATCACAACATGGGGGTCAAGGACAGGGACTACCCTCACTGCAAAGAATTATCCTGTCCAAAATGTCAATAGAGCCAAGGTGAGGAAACCCTGACTCAGAGGTACAATTATTCATAATCCATTTTAGAAGGTGAATTCTTCACTCTAAAAGGAATCAGAAATTTTCCATACATAAAATGTTTTCTTATGGCTCATTAAATACTCCGCTAAGGGAGAAATTTTTAAAAAAGGTGAAGCCTTTTAAGCTCCCACTGATCAAGCACTCAAAAGAGATTATAGAGCAAATCAGAAACTGTAAAATATTAAAGGTATGTTCAGATTCTAGAATGTTTTCTTTTACTGGGTAATAAATTATAATAAAATTGAATGGTCTAGTTCAATATTAGACTGGTGAAAAATCAACTGAGGGGTTCCTGGCATAAAATCTAGCACATTATTTGTTCAGCAAACAAATCAATGACCTCCCTCTGAGCCACCAAGGGAGGATTCCTGACTTCCTCTCTCCGTCTCCTTCATCCCACGCCCTAATCTGCACCTCCATCTTCGTAGATGTGTGTACTGTGTGCATGAGTCCAGTTTAGGTTTTAGTTGCTGGGAAACAAGGCAGGATCATGAGACTCTTGAGAAAAGTTCAAATAAGATTTTTAGAGCCAGAAAGCCCCCCAGAAATTGAGTCAAATCTGCTCATGTAACAGATGGAAGAAGCAAGTCAGAGACAGAGCCAGGACCCGTGCCCCACCGGCCATTTCTTGGTCACGATTCTCAGTGTTAATCAGGGCTGGAAGAGGAGTTAGAGAAGACAGGCACGGGTCCCACTGGTCTCTCCACAAATACCTTTCCCACCAGCGAGTGTGCCCTCTGGGCAGGGATGGGGCTGGTACACGACATGGCTGGCTGCTTGGACTGCACGGCCTCTCGCATTCCTGGGTGATACAGTGCTATGCGGGTGAAGTTCATGACCCCGCTCACTCCCGCAGCATCTCACTCATGATCACTTGTGCTATTTACCACCCTCTAATACAGGCCGAATACTTCTCCCAGGTTTCAGAAAAGGAAACTGAGGCGGCATGACCAAATCATTGCCAGAAGATCACACAGAGTTAAAGGCAGGATGCTTGGCCAAGAATCCAGCCCCAGGCTCTGACCACTAAATTATGTGGTTCTTCTAGTTTTATGACTCCTCCTGATTTTTCTTGGGGGTTGGGGGGTGGGCGGGCCTGAGCAGTGACCACAAATGAAGGAAAAAGCAGTAATGTGTGGGGCGGAGGCATACGGCGGGCACTTGTGGGCCACCTCCCTCCAGCTCAGGCTCCCGGCGATGGGATCAGGAAGCCAAAGTGGTTGTCGAGAGACTTGGAATTGGCTGCCATCCTAAGTGCCATAGCTCCTTTTGTGCACATAAGTAGACATCTGTGCATTTGCAAGCAGGCATGTGGGTAAGCATCTACCAAGGCAGGAGTGCACCATATACCAGAGAAGTGCAGGGCTGACTTTAGAGACACTGGATTCCCATATTTCACAGCTATTTAACCCCAAGAAAAGCTCCAACCAGCATGGACTTATTTCCAAATTGCTCCTTAGATGACAAAGTGCCAGCATAGGGGCGGGAGTGGGGTTCAGGTTAGGCAGCCTCATGAAGCTGCCCAGCACACCCCACAGCAGCTGGAATCTGGTCTCACACTTTCTCCTCTGTGCTTCCAGAACACATTTATATCCACCAAGCTCATCTTTAGCCCAAGTATCTGCCTGTCAGTAAACTTTGCTCATAGGGATGAGAACTCCCCGACAGCAGGGACTGGGTCATATTCATTTTCTGCAGGAAGGTGGGGTGTCTGATGTCCAATAAATATGTAATGCACTAAATATCAGGAAGTGAGAACATCCAAGCCCAAGGGAGAGATGACCTGGAAGAAATGGGAGAAAGTTGAGAGCTCAACTTGGATCCCAACAATGTAGATTTAAGCAGAGGGGGCTGCATGCTAAGCTCCAAGAAACATCCACTGTAGAGAGAGAGGAGCGTTGGGTTCCCAGTCACCCTGGGGAGGCCCCAAAGCCTTCCTTTCTCACTAGGCCATCCTGTACCCCCTGGAATCCCACCCAATCCCACCCCACAGTTCTCCCTGTGAGTCCCCTTTGGAACAAATTCAACTTCACCATTTACTTGCTCTGGGGTTCTGGGCCTGCCCCATTCATAGGGGGGATAACAGGACCCACCTTCATCATGGTTGCTGGGATTACGGAGATAAAGCATGTGTAGTAACTAGCACTGGGTTCTCAATCCATGGTGTGCACCTTCCCATTAGCTCACCCCTCATTCGTCCATATTGTTCCTGTTTACGTAGTCATCCCACGTTTATCTCACTGCCCCCATGCCTTCTCTTTGGTTGACGGCACAGATTAGGAAACTCCCCTTGCAGGCAATTTCAGCATCTTTCTGGGAAGTGCCCACCCAAAGGGGAGTCACTGCTCTGTATACCTGATATCCAGGAAAAAGAAGCCCAAGGAAGTATGGAGGCCACTGGGGAGATCAGGGCAGAGAGCGGGCATCCCTCCCAGGGGTGGCATCAAGCTTTTCTAGCCAAAGGCTGCAGAGGTGGCCCCCATATGATCTGAGGAACGGTGGGGCAGACAGGACATGTGGAAGCAGCCTGTTTCCAGCCAGGCTCAGCTCAGGCCTCCACTCTGCTCTCCCCTGACATCGCACACTGGGAATCTCCACCACCCCTTCCAATCCCCTGGGCCCTCTGTACTCTGTGCCTGGCTCCCCCAGCCCTGGGGTCCTAAAAGTGGGAAGAGGATGAGTGAAGCCAGTGACGATGACCGACTGTCTCACAACAATGCCATTCTGTTGTCCCAAGATGTCATCGGCCAAACATGTGCTCCAGTCCCCACTCTCCCAGGCCTTGGGGGAGAGGTGGGCGGCTGGAGTGAGAGATGGGAACCACAATTCACAGCAGGAGCACAGCCCCAGCCCAGAATCCTTCAGCAAAAGAAAACACAGGGGCCTCCAGGCAGCCTCACATAGTGTCTGCCTCCTTCATGACCCAGGGAAAGCCCCAATAGGCAGGACTTCCTTCTAGCATGCCACCAACTGGGTGGAGAAATCTACCAGAGACCACATGTAGAGATAGCCCTGAGTTCCGATTCCCCCTCCTCTCCTGCTCTGTACTCCAAGCTGCCATGGTGAAGAAAGCGGCAAACGGGTTTAGGGAAGTTTTCAGGGGTTGGAAGCAGCCAGCGGATTTCTTAGGGCTTAAACCCTAGAGTCTCAAATTCCATCACCTGAATGAGAGTGGGAAAGCACAGGTCCTAGGAACATCTGTTATTTTGACCCACTTCCCCAACTCCCACCCGCACTAAGAGAGAAAAATAAACCCCAAGGTTGGGTCCCAGCTTTGTGAGTCTTCATATCCCCCCAGTGCTGGGCAAATAGCAGGGCCTCAGTCAATCTCTGATGAGACAAATGCATCAAAATGGCAACTTCTTCACATTTTGTCTTATTTTCTGGTTCCTAGTGTCTGCAGTTCCCTCTGCTTCATTCAATCATTCATTCATTCCTCCATGCGAACATATGTATACTATGTGTTCCTTCCAGAGAGACTGTTGTAGAGGCAGGGAGTGGAGATACAGAAGGCATTGTCCTCACCCGCCGTCCCCTCTTAGGTGGAGGGGCTGTGAGGCCCTATCCTTACAAGTCCCAGCAAAGCGCCTGGGACTTGGAGACGTACTGACAAGAGGCTTGCAGAATCGAATTCGATCTTATGATAGTGAACACCTGTGCCCATCTCAGCCCCATCCTCTTTCACCAGCCCTACAGGCTGAGGATCTTGAGACAAAAGGCTCCCAAGCAGCCAGTCTGGGCCTGGGAGCACCATCTGTCCAGCCAGAGGTGCCAAAGGAGACAGGACGTGAGGGAGGGGTGAGGGGTAGAGGTGCAGGACTGGGGCGGTGGGGAGAGGCGCAGACCAAGGGGGTCTTACCTCTTCTGCTGCAGTAGGTTCTGCTCATCTCGGCTCTGAGCCCAGGACTCCCGTCTCTGGAACCATCTGCAGAACTTGCTCCAGAGGCAGAGAATTAGCCCTTTCTCCTGGGGCAGTGACAACCCCATGGGGTGTAGGGCCGGCTCCTTGGGGGGCTGAGGACGAGGCCAGACCCTGACGGGACTCAGCCTTGGGGCCACATCGGCCCCCCCAAGGGCCGGCCCGCCCTCTCCCTGTAGAGGTCCCGTCTCCTGTCTCCTGCCTTCGTGGCGAGTTCCTTGGGAGTCTCCCAGCAGCCCCAGCCAGACTGGAGAGGACTGCGAGTTTGTTACACCTGGCAGAGCCAGCCAGGACTCTGCAGGGCTGGCCTGTCCGGAGCTCCCGCTGGCAGTGAGCGGGAGGAGCGGGAACTGCGGGACACTCCCTCCCTCCTCCCAGATTACCTGAGATTTAAAGAGACAGGCTGGCCGCAGACCTGCCTACCGAGGGGGCCTTGTGCCAACTCCAATTCTTTCTCCACCCAGGTCTCTCTCCCTGCCCCCAGGCCAGACGTGACCGGGGAGACCTTCAAAGAGACTGGCGAGGCCTCCCTTGGACGTCAGGACACCCCGTGACCTACCTGGAGAGACTTCAGGCAGTGAGAGAAGAGGGGAGGGGTCAGGGCAGGCCGTTCCCAGGGTTGAGGGCTGCCAGGAGGGAGCGCCCCACTTTCCCACGGTCCCTCTTCTGCCAGCCCTCTGCCCCGTGCTCTGCCTCCCCCTACTTATGTCCTGGAGAATTCAATTTTCTGGACTCTTCCAGTTTCATTCTTGCCAGGCCCAAAGTAGATATATAAATTGCTAAGATTCTCAGTTCTCCCAAACTTTGCTCTCAGTCCCCGTCACCCTTGGTTCAGCAGACTTTTTCTAGAAGGGCCGTTGGGAAATGTAAGTACGTTAGGTTTTCCAAGCCACCTACCCTCTCTAATGTACCTCCTTCTTCTTCGGTTTAGTTGTGGAGCTCCTTGTTTTTTAACAGCCCCCAAAGATGTAAAATGCATTCTCCGCTCACCAGCCAGGGCACAAAAATCTAGCTCTGGGCAGATTCCCCCGCTCGGAAGCGCCACAGACTGTCCACAGCGCCCCGTGCGAGGGGTTGGTGCCCGACCAAATACAGGACATGTGGTCAAATTTGAATTTTAGATAAACAACAAAGAATTTTTTAGTATAAATATATCCCATGTTTTGCAAGTATTCTCTCCGCCAACCTTCCTGTGGAGGTGACATTTATTCAGCTGCTGCTGTGTGCTGGGCCCTTTAACTGAGCCTTCCCAGGTAAACACGTAACAAACCTGCAAGGCAGGTATTATTATCTGCATTGTACTGATGGGAGAAACCGAAGCTCACCTGGTAGAGGAGCTCTCCCAAGGCCATAGAAGTGGCAGAGGCAAGATTCACACCCATCCCTCATTTCAAGCCCACGTCTTTCTCCCTAGCACGCCCCCTCATTCTAACTGGCAAACAGAGTTTCAGAGAGGGGAAGCGACTTGTGTAGTCACACAGAAGAATGCTGGCATTAGGCATGGCCCATTCGCTGCCCACAACGAAGAGCTCCGTCATGAGCTTGCTGGAAGCTGTCGGAAAGGTCATTTAGTTCAACTTTCCACTGGAAAGAGGCAGAAGCCCAGGCTGATCCAACCTCTTGGTGCCAGCCAGGTGCCAATACCCTCAGGGCAGGTGTCTGGGTGTAGAGTCACAGGTGTGCGGATCACTTCCTAGCTTCAGAGTCTGTTTTGTCCTAACTTTCTCTGACTCAGAGTTGGAAGATCCAGCAAGGCGAGCGTGTGCCCAAGTGCATGCGTGTGGTGTGTGTGTTCGTGACGTGCCATTGGTGGAGTGTTTTGTGTGGTGTGCTGTATGTGTATGATGTGCCTGGGGTGTGTTTGATGTGTCTATGTGTGTGTGATATATGTGGTATGTGTAGGCATGGCCTGTATGGTGTGTGGGTGTGGTGTCTGTGATGGTTTGTGTGATGTGTGTGTTACGTATATGTGTATTGTGGGAGGATTGTTGTGTGTGTGTGCATGTATGGTGTGTAGTGGGTGATGTATATGGCATGTTTAAGGTGTGTTTGCGTGTATGTGAGGTATGTGTATGTGTGTGTGTGGTGCATAGTATGCCTGGTTTGTGGAGTGTGTGTATGGTAGGTTTGGTATGTGTGTATGTATAGTGTGTGTGGTATGTTTTGTGTGTATGTATGGTGTGTGTGGTGTTTTTTTGTGTGTGTATGGTGTGTGTGGTGTGTTTTGTGTGTATGTATGTTGTGTGTGGTGTTTGTGTGTATGTATGTGTGTGGTGTGTTTTGTGTGTGTGTATGTGTGTGTGGTGTGTTTTGTGTGTATGTATGGTGTGTGTGGTGTGTTTTGTGTGTGTGTATGGTGCATGTGGTGTGTTTTGTGTGTGTGTATGGTGTGTGTGGTGTGTTTTGTGTGTGTGTATGGTGTGTGGTGTGTTTTGTGTGTATGTATGGTGTGTGTGGTGTGTTTTGGGATGTATGGTGTGTGTGGTGTGTTTTGTGTGTGTGTATGGTGTGCGTGGTGTGTTTTGTGTGTATGTATGGTGTGCGTGGTGTGTTTTGTGTGTGTATGGTGTGTGTGGTGTGTTTTGTGTGTGTATGGTGTGCATGGTGTGTTTTGTGTGTATGTATGGTGTGTGTGGTGTGTTTTGTGTGTATGTATGGTGTGTGTGGTGTTTGTGTGTATGTATGTGTGTGTGGTGTGTTTTGTGTGTATGTGTGTGGTGTGTTTTGTGTGTATGGTGTGTGTGGTGTGTTTTGTGTGTATGTATGGTGCGTGTGGTGTTTGTGTATATGTATGTGTGTGTGGTGTGTTTTGTGTGTATGTGTGTGGTGTGTTTTGTGTGTATGTATGGTGCGTGTGGTGTGTTTTGTGTGTATGTATGGTGTGTGTGGTGTGTTTTGTGTGTGTGTATGGTGTGTGGTGCGTTTTGTGTGTATGTATGGTGTGCGTGGTGTGTTTTGTGTGTGTATGGTGTGTTTTGTGTGTGTGTATGGTGTGTGTGGTGTGTGTGGTGTGTTTTGTGTGTATGAATGTCATGGGGTGTATGTCCCATGTGCTGTGTGTTGGGGGAGTCCGTGTGTGGAGGGAGGTGGATGCTGAAATAGAGCAGGGTACGGAAGGGCCCCCTTCAAGTGGAAAGCTGTTGTGTTCCTGACCCTGGGTGGAGGCCAGGCCACGCAGCCCTGAGCCAACAGTTCAACTGGATTAGCTTCGCCCCCACCCACCCGGGTCAGTGGGTTCAGGCTGGGTTGGAAGAAGGTGCTAGAACCCAAACCTTGAACTTCAGACCTTTGTGCCCATTAAGCCAACTGTTTGTCGTTTGCTGACCCATTTATCTCCAAAGACCTATTTAGCTTCAAAGACCCCAGCTTAATGTCTAGTGGGGAAGGGGATAAAGCAATGAGGCTTTCGTCATGCTGGAGGGGGGCTGGGGGAGGGAGGAGGACAGAGTCGCTTTCCAACATTCTTCCTCTTCTTCAGCCTTCCCACCTGATGTTGTGCAGGGATCAGCCAACAGACTCAAAATAGGGGTGGCAGGATGGGAGGGGAGGAGGAGCTTCTGGCTGCAATGGACTGAACATCGTGTCAGTGAGAGAAGGTGGCCCTAGGGTGGGTGGCACTACCCCAGAGGCTCCTGAAAGCACCCCCGTCGTTCATTTTCAGTGTCACATTTTGAACCTGCATCACACACTGCTGGTTTCCAGGGGACAGGAAGGACAGCCTGGACCTTCTTCTTCCTTGAGATGAGCACAGCCCATGCCACTGCACCCCGGGGCAGCACCACCTGACATGGGAGGAATCCGTTCTGTAACCCATAGTCAAGGAGTGGGTACGCCCAGGAGGCTGTGGGTTTTGGGGTGAAGGGGGATGAGGGGAAGACTGGAGCTCCTGGGAGAGCACTCACAGGGCTGGCCTCTCCCAGTCCCCTCGCCCAGATTCCACAAATAATGAGACATTTGTGCCCCCAAGTGAGTTGCTCCCTCTCAATGGTCCTATCCATACTGATGAGTGCAGGTAATGACCTTTTGCCTGCCTTCATGGCTGCTTTTGACCAAGACTTGGTGAGAACCAGAGGGGTCAGGAGCCAAGAGGGAAGGAGGACTGGTCTGAAGCAGGCAACCTGCGGACCAGGGGGTTAAACCAGTCCTCCCTGCCTGGGGCTGAGCCTCAAATGCTAAGTGAAACTGAGGTCCTCAGGCTTCCCTGAGGCGCCCCAGGGCAATGGGTCGGAGCCTCCTCTGAGGGCCCCTGAGAGGGGCAGAGAGATCACAGGTGCCGATGCCAGGGTGTGCTGCCCTGGGACAGAGTCTGAACCGGGGACATAGGAGCTATTGAAAGCTCCTGTGCCCCCGATGTTTCCGCATTTGGGGCACAACTTCTCTATTCAGGTGCTACTGATATTTTGGAACAAATCTTTTCTGCAGGTGCTGTTGTAGGCACCGTAGGAAGTTCAGCAGCATCTGAGCCTCCACTCACCAGGGACAGTAGCATGTCCCTCCCCTCTGTTGTGACCACCAAAGAATGGCTTTACACACTGTCCGGTGCCTCCTGACATGAGCAAAATCATTCTCCATTGAGAACCACTGATTTCAAGCTAGGGAAGTATGAAAATGATCTTTTTCTAGCTTTGTCTCTTTTATTGGTTCTGTGTCTTTCCATGTTTCGCTCAGTTTTTCCGCGCTTACTGCCTCTGTCACTGTGCAATAATATCTCTGTTCCCTTGGTCTTAGTCTCTGTCGTGAGGGGTGTGTGTGTGTGTGTGTGTGGTGTGTGTACATGCATTGCATGTGTGTGGTATGTTGGGGGTGTATGTGATATACTGTGTAGTGTGTGTGGTATATGTGTTGGGTATGTGAAGTGTCAGTGTGTGGTGGGGGAGGTTGGTATGTGTGGGGTGTGAGGTGTGTGTGCCTGTGTTCATTGCATAGTATGTATGTGTCATGTGGTGTCTGTGTATGTGGCAGTGGTGTAGGTGTGTTGTTTGTGGAGTGTGTTGTAGATGTGGTTTATGTGGTATGAGTGTGTGTGTGTGAGTTGTGTGTGTTGTGTGTGGTATATGTGTTGCATTTGTGTATGTGGTGTGTTGTGTGGTGTGCATGCGTGTGTGTGGTGTGTGTGTGTCTGTGTTGTGTGGCACCCATGTCTGTGCAGTTTTTGTGTAGTGTGGAGATGCGTGTGTTGTGTTGTGTGTATGGTATGTGGTGTGCACTTATGTATGTGGTTTATGTGTAGTGTGGGCATGTGCATGTTGTGTGTGTGTGTATGTGTGTGTGTCTATGACTGAGTGTTCTCTCTGAAGAATGCTGGATCTGTTCTGTCCTCCATCTCTTGAGGTTCGCCAGCTGCCTGCTGCCCTGGCCTCTGGGCCAGCATGTCCTCGCTCTCTGGTCATGAGGGATGGAACCAGCAAGGGGCAGTGAGGTCGAAGGCACAGCTTACTCACTCAGATTGGAGTTTGTTCCAGTCACTGGGTTCACCAGCATGTGCCAACTCATAAAGCCTGCAGAGGAGCCCATGATAGTGAGTGCATGCACACACACACCTGCACACCCCCACAC